AGTTATACAGAAACAATAATCAAAACTGAAGCGATCACAACAACTAATGAGCAAGTGATCAAATCTGCAAATGAACGGAGGGTACTGTCTCTTCGAAGTAGATAGCACGTGCATTCTTGCTGTAGTTTAAATAACATTTTCCAAAATTATAACTTTGAGTTAAATTTAAATTCCTTACGATCAACATTATGATCTAAGTATTTATTTTATTTCCAATCTCATGTTGTTGTTTTTTTTTGGGGGGGGGGTCAGAATAAACAAAACTATGTTCGTTCCTGTGCCCGAGGACTTCGTTCCATACTCCATACTGTTGATCAACGTAATTCTCTTCAAAGTTATGCGGGATGTGACGTTTGCTGTTGTACCTTCACATCTACGCTCTCTAGTGGCAGAATTTATATCAACTTTAGAACTCTGCAGCGACTACGCGGAGTTAGGTAAAAATATATTTCTGTGCTTTTAGCATAAGTTAGATAACATAGAAATTTTACACATTAAACTCTGTAACATTAATATCCCGATCCACTCTTGATATGGAACATCAACCTTGCTAAGCCTATCTGAGCTACATGTTTAGTTACATCATCAGCGTACATAGGTCGATAACCGGCGTTCAGTGGAGTTTTGTTGCGTTATTTGAGTTCCCGGTATGGCCAGGTGGATTAGGGCACTCGACTCGCAATCTATGGGTCGCGGGTTCGAATCCCGGGCCCACCAAACATGTTCGCCCTTTCAGCCGTGGGGTTTGTGGTTTGTTTTGAATTTCGCGCAAAGTTACACGAGGGCTACCTGCGCTAGCCGTCCCTAATTTAGCAGTGTAAGACTAGAGGGAAGGCAGCTAGTCATCACCACCCATCGCCAACTCTTGGGCTACTCTTTTACCAACGAATAGTGGGATTGGCCGTCACATTATAACGCCCCCACGACTGAAAGGGCGAGCATGTTTGTGGAATTAGTTAAAAAATAAGATAAATTTTGTTTCAGTTTTGAAATTATCCAGGTCAAGCGTGTGCTTGTATTCAAAATATATTTTCATAAGTTTGTTATATTTAGTGAAAAAAAAAAGTTTTAGATTATTGGGAAGAATTAAAATAAAATGAAGTAAAGTCAAGTAAAAAAAAGAATTAAGACTATTTGTGATTAATTGTAATTATTATTGTAAAATGTTAGCAGTTTTTCTCATAAAGGTTATTACATAATTTTTAAAAATCGTAGCACTTTTAAGCCTAAAACAAAGAAACAAGACGTTTGGAGCGACATAAGGGAATTGAATTATATAAGTTATTTGTTGTTTTATGAGTAATAATTATATGTATTGTTACGTTTCCGTTTGTT